ATCTAAATTAACAAGTTTTTAATAAGTTAAAGTGTGTTATTTTGAATAAAGTAGTTTTGAAATTAAGGGAATGCTCCCTACCCACGGTGGATACATGTTAATATGTCGAGCATTTATTGACACGCACACATTGATGATGTTAATATGTTAAAAAAGGTACATCACCAATGTGTGCGTGCCACATAAGCGGTGGGCATATTAACATGTGTCCACCGTGGGTAGGGGAGCATTTTTGTTGAAATTAAATAATATTTAAAATGTAATGATTAAAGTTGATATGATGTAAAAGTAAGAGATAAATATAGAGATTGTAGGAAGCCGTAGATAATTTAAATTATGTGACCGGATATAGTGAATTAAAGTTGATGTGATGCATAATAATGATTAAATCATATTTATATCTATATAAAGAGACAACTTATTTACCAAAAATAATAACAAAAAAAGTAAACCAACATTTATTGCATTCTATTTTTTACAGCTTTTTATTTTTTTTTAAATTATTCCTAAGAATCAACTATATATGCACACTAAATTCATGGGTTTTGTGGATTTAATTTAGGTAAATTTCGACTGATGCTTACCATTTTGCAAAATTCAAATTCTTTCTCATTTTTATTTAAAAAAAAACTTTGAATTAAACAAAATACTATCACATACATCTTTTACTAATTGCAACAGATTAATTGTTTATTATATGTAAATTCAGCATGACAATTTTGTAAAAGTGAAAATTATCTCATTTTTTATTAAAAAAAATATGTTTACCATAAAGTGGGGAATTTTGAATTAGACAAAATACTATAACATGTATGTTTACCTAATTACAACAGATCATGTATATTAAAATCGAAATGCATAGAAATCAGACCAAATTTCAAATTGAAAATTATACTTAAAAATCCTTTATCATTTGACTATTATTTTCTTTAGTTCGATTTTTTTAAAACATAGAACAGATTCAGATAATATTAATTTGCAATTCAAAATAAAATCAGATGGAACATCCTAAAAATTTGAGTTTTGTTTAATTCTCTTGAATTCAAATTTGAAATTGATTGCATGCACTTACAAAATAAATAATGATTGCATACACTTACAAAATATCATATATATCCTGCTAAACAATTAATTAGTTTGTTTAAGTCTTTCTCGAATCCTAATATAAGTTGCGGTGATAGACGATGTACCAAAAGACCAAACAAATAATGTTGTGTATGGAGGTATTTAATAATATGCAAGTTACATTTTGTTTACTCTAATACATGTGTTTTACGTTCTTCCAATCATCTAATTTTCAAATCTAAATGTTTACCTTAATAAAACTAGCTCGTACATCACACGGTACTACACTAATTATTTAAGTATATTCATAAAAAATAAAAAAGTTGTGTTGTGTTGAATTTTGTATTAATGATTGATATGAAATAGATTGGTTAAGGCAAACTCAAATTCAACAAAATCCAACAACACAATGAAGGCAAAACCCAAATTCAAGATGATTCAAATAACTCAGGCTCAAAGGAGAACTTTTCTTTTAGTTACAATTATGGCTGCAAATGTATCGAGCGGCTCCCGAGCTTTTCTTATATAATGGGCTCGAATCTTCAGTCATGAAATTGAAACATTTTGCCTTCCAAGGACAACAAGAATGGACCAAAGAACTGGACATTTACTACTATTTTGCAACACTTTCTTAGCGTGGACCTTGGACTGCTAAGGGTGCGTTTGTTTATAAAAATATTCAATTCATACTCGAAATATAGTTCAACTCTAATTCAACTTTAATATATTTAAATATTAATTAGTTAATAACAATCTATCATTTTTACACATCACATTAACTTAATTCACTATTCATTCACTCACATAATTTTAACGAACTATCACTTCACATCATATCTCTCCTACTTTATATCGAATCAACTATTATTATTTTATTTCAAATAGTATCTTAATATAAACTCAAAATTCCACTAACAAATAACCATACCATATTTTTCAAAATTAACTTTGGCGAACCAGAAAAAAACTTATTTTGAGCAGATATATTTGTATTCAAGCACGCCCTAACAACCCATACCTAACTTTCTTCTTTGGCCCAACTTTTGTGAAGGCTGTAAATAACACCGTTGAAAAGAAAATCAAGTAAGAACACTTGTTCCGACTTCAAAGACTTCGAATCCACATGGAAGATCATAATTCAAAAACCTAATGTTATTAGACATGGTCAAATCCGGTTTCGGGCCACGCTTTTGGAGATCCCAAACTGACCCGATCATATATATGGGCCATGAACCGGCGATTCTGGGCCATCCTGGTTTATTAAAAAGTAACAAGAAAATACCCAAAAAATTAAAAAAAAAAAATGTTCATTTCGATTCAAATTTTGTATATGACTGAACCGAAAGTGGCCCGGGTAAAACCAAGGGCCGGTTCAAGGCCGGCCCGGGTCATGTCTAAGTGTTATAGAAACTATTTTCTTCTTTTCCTACTCTTTGAGCTGCTAACACTCTTACTTAACCATTTTTCCTCGTGGGGTGGTTCGGATTGTGCTATCAAGGTTGTACACCGTCTCCATCAAAAGCAGCTGCAGCTCAAATGGAATAACACCAAATCTGCTTTAATCCTCACTTTTTCATGATTTCATCTATTATAATCCAGCACGTCAAATTTGACCCTACTTAAAATATTAGCTCTTTCCCTATAATTTACTTTTTCAAAGCAAAAAAATAAAAAATAAAAAATAAAAAAATAAAAGAATAAAAAATAAATAAATATAATAATAATAATAGCATCTAGCACTAGATTTAAGCTATGTTTGGTAAACCAATAAGCTAGCTTCTAGCTTATTTGATTATCTTCTAAGTTCCTTGTTTTTAAATAAGCTATGTTTGGTAGAACGAGTTTATTTAAAAAGCTCGAGCTTATTTGATAAGCTTGTTTAGATAGCTTTTCAAATAAGCTAGTTGAATTTTTTATTTCAGCTAGCTTATCAGCTAATTTTACCAAACGCTTTTATCATATAAGCTAAATTTTCAACTATAAGTCATAAGCTACAAACTATAAGCTCGAAAATTACTGATAACTTATCAGCTAGTTTTATCAAACATAACATGAGCCTCTGCCTAACTTACCTAGTGTGATTTTTTTCAAGAAGGCACCATTTACCATCCAACAACCAAAAAATAAATAAAATAAAAAACAATAATAATTGTGTAGGACAAGGGCCATAATTAAAAAGGCAATAATTAAAAGATGGAAGAAAGAAATTCAATTTATAACAGTAAAAAAAAGTTACTACTAGTCTTTGTTTATTATTATTATTATTATATTCTATAGTTCCTTGTGATCCAACACACAGCTACAGAGAAGGTACAATGTAACAAAGCAAAAGACCACTCACATTAATAATAAGTTCATATGTACTTTCATAGTTTGATACCACCATAACACTCTTGATCAAATCTTCCTTTTCTTCTGTTTTGCTGGTGTGGACTTCTTTTTTTCTCTCTATACACAGCTAGATTGACTTTTTACTTGTATACGCTAAGTCAAACTTTCTGCACGACAGTACAAAAAAACGAAACCCATCAAAATGGGAAGAATTTAGCAAGGAACAAAAAAATCGTCATTTCGTTTACGAAAACACCCCATCTTTTTACCAACAATTACAAAGTTCAGCCTCGAAATTTTTTCTCCTTCAAAAACTACACCACCGATAGGGATCGCCTTTTAAGTTGTAAAGATAATTTAGGTTTACTGTAGTTGGTTCAAACCAAGAAGGTGGAATTTGTAAGCACACCCCGAGTATTCAGAGTAAATGTTTACGGATTAGTAGTCTTACCAAGGCTAAGCTATAATCCCTGCTCGCTAACCACAATCAGCGGTAAATACCTACATGTCAATGGCTTCAAGCCCAGAAGACAAGATGGAAATAATTAACAGGCATAAATAGAACTTATTTGCAGAGAGAGAGAGAGAGAGAAAAAAAAAAAAAAAAGCACTGAAAATACCTTGCAGTTTCAGAGTAAAACAGAGAAGCCATTCTGTGGGGAGAGCTGTTAGGTAATTTATTTGTCACGGTTATATTGTTACTGGCAGCAACTGAGAAAGCAGATTGTTGCTCTGTGGCTGATTTTTTAGGAGACGATAAAAGGTTCTCGGGTAGAATATGCTCCAAACTGCTTTTCATATCAAATGCAAGAAATACAATCAAAGGCAGAAATCAGTAGTGAACCGGGTACAGTTACATATTTAGGCAGGAGACTAATGTAAGAGCATTCTTAAAATATGTACAATTTTATTTTACTACCCTTTGCAGGAAAAAAACAGTCGTGTTCTTTCTAAAAATACTACATACCTGCTGCGCAGATATACTTATATTTATCTATATTTCCCTCCTCCTCCAAACGCAAACTTGTTTTTCATTTTTGTTTATCCTAAATCATAGGTTTTGATTCCTAATTAATTATAGCATTAATTACTAATCAAGGAACTAGTACTCTTCTCTAACACACGTGCTTTTAATAGTAACTTAATTTGTTTGCATTTATGTGAAGGATAAGATGTGAACAAAAAACAAAAGAGTTAACAATATGTTACACCCCTAGTGAGCGGTCGGCTGGGCACGATGGAGAGAGTACACTATAAGTACCTTTCAGGTGGATAAGAGTCATCATCATTCACATGCTGGTGCTTCTTGCTATTAAGAATGTAGGTGATAATGGATGATTCAGTTTCTTCAGCACCCAACTTGTCATCATCATCTGCAAAAGCTGGAGATTTTGATGCTACTAAGCCACCATCAAGCTCTTCAGCAATAAAGAACAAAATTATATTTAGTTTTAAAGGGGGGGAAAAAAAGATAGCATATAAATATTCAGTTACAAGGCAAAATAGTTTATCGGCTAATTTTATTAGACAATACAAAACTCAATAAGAAAGTTCTACGGTGCTGACCTTGCAAACCATCTTGAGTAGTTGCATCAAGGAAATTTTGACTCATAAGCAATTGCTGTTGTCTGGGGGAGGATATTGGGACACCCGTAAATAGGCTTGGTAGAAAACCATGACTAAGCTGTGGATTTTCCACTAGCTGCAAATTATTCATCCTTCGGGTTTGAAGTTCAAGAGCATGCTGTATTTCTGCCTCCTGCTCCAACTGTCTCCTGAGCATCATGTCTTGTGTATTGAACAACATTCTTGATCCTGCAGGAAAAAGTAAGTGGTTCAAGTTATACACTTATGAGCTCACCAAGACAGCAAAAAAAAGGAAAGAAAGAAAAAATAGCGAGCAATATATGATCACCAATAGGGACATCAAATAGCTCTCTGGAATCAATTCCGGACGGGCTTAAACTAGTTGAATATTCTCCCCTCTCCAAGTGGTCATATTGTTGCTGGAATTGTTTCCTATAAAAGGATTCAATTAACTAACTGAAATCATCAGAAAGTATGACAAGGAGTTAATTTCAAAAACTAGCCCTGAAGTTTAGCTTAAACAATATGCACATACACGCACATGCACATTAAAAGAGTAGTTGACAGTTAAATACAACCCTCAAAGAAGCCGCGGTTTGGGCATTTGTAATCTTAAAAAATGGACTTTCTGTGATTAATCTAAACCCCAAGAGGTAGTAGTCAGTCTCTGAAATATTCATACAACAAAGATAACTAGAGAATAATAATAGAGGGGAAAAAGATACTTTTCTGGTATTTTCCCTTTCTCCTTGTAGGGTTTCACGAGCACGCGAGAATCACACACATAATGCGGGTTTCCTTTAGCAAGAATGAGTTTTACCGTCTCTGGGTAGACAAAGGTCACAAAGCCAAACATTCGCTTAGGTTGATAGGGAATCCTAACATCTTGCACCGGCCCAAACAAGCTTGAAAACACAGAAACAATAAATCAGCAATCAGTGAGCAATTTCCAGCAACTAGGTATTAAAAAAAAATATAATGCTCGACAAGAACTCACCCAAAGTAACTTGAGACATCTTCTTCTTTGAATGTACTATCAGCTGGAAACGTCAAGTAAATTTGCCGTGAGCACGAACTAAAACCGGCACCTAAACCCATTTGTGACAAACCATTCCGAGGACCACACCTATTTAAAACGGGTGTAACTTTATTTAATTCAGCAATCAAACCAAGCCAACAATGGGAGCTTTTGAGGTAAACAGCTGAGCAAATTATAAACCTATTGTTACATCTTACGATTCACCTAATAAAACAGCCCTCACTCTCTATTATAAAAGCCCTTCTTCGGCTTGATTTATGCAGATTTGATATCTACCTTGTACTAAATAAGACGACACATGTGAATTAATTCGAACAGAAGACTTCACAAAGCTCTCCAGTGCAAAATCATTCAATTCTAAAAGGGTGATTACCCAGATTCACCCAATTTAATTAAAGATACCACCTTTAGGATTGTATTTGCTATCCAAAATAGAGAAAACTGCAAAAATGCTACAAAAATGCCACTTTTGTATATTGCAACTGAAAATGACTGTTATTACAACAAAAGGTTGCGTTTTTTGCAAATTTACTTACAAATTACCCCTTTTAACAACGCCCAAAAATAGTGCAATTTGTAAAATAGCACTATGAAAACACAACTGTTCACTATAATCAAGTTAGACCTCAATGAACATATTAGTAACCCAAAACAAAACTATTCACAAATACTATGTTTGCAATATTCACTTCTGCATTAGAAGTGTTCAACCCAGAAAACGCAATTTCTGAAAACCGAAATCGCCGCACGATGAAAAAGATGTCAAAATTACCAATTATTCTCCCAAAATATATATATATATATATTTTTTTTTGGTACCTCTGATTGTCGTTGAGGATGTTGACAGACTTGCTGTAAGGAAAAGAATGGTGGTGGCCCCTGGAAGGCATGGCTGCAAGCCTATGCTGTTGCATAGCCTTAATTCTCATGAACTCGTCAAACCCTGATGCAGCCGAACTTGGAGAGCCCTCTTCCACCACCTCACCGCCATTTTCACCGTGCAAGAACTTGCAGGAACTGCCGTTCTTGCAGAACCCTCTCGCGAAATACATGCACGGCCTCCACCCAAAACCCCCGCCTTCCTCCAAATTAGACAGGAAGACAGCATCGTTCACGGAGCAACTCCTCCTGTGGAACGGGTGGGGCTGTGGGGAGGGCGAGTCCTCACCGTAAGAGAAAATCAGAGAATCGCTCCCCCCGCTTGGGCTCATAATCGGATCCACCACGGAATCGTCCACAAACGACAGTTGGTTACCGTTCACCTCTCCGTTCAGCGCGGCGGCGTAGGAAACGTTCGGTATCGCCACCCGCGGGGGGAATGGCCCGTTTGGCGCGACAGGGCTCGAGGGTTTTGCGGGCGGAAGACCCAAACGGGCCCTCAGCTGTTCGACGCGGGACAGGAGGAGGGCTTCGTGCCCGAGGGCTAACCTTATCATCTCCTTGTCGCCATCGTCCTGTATCAGTATGTAGCCCATGATCTTGGCAGCGTTTTCCGGGTCCAAACTCTGAACCCTCGACATAACTATCCTTGTCGCCTCGCATGCGTCCATCGCAATCCCTTTTTCTGTTTTCCTGCAACAAAAAAAAATAAAAATCTCTTCTTTTATCTCTTTGTGAGTGAACAAGAACTGCACAAAACAAGAAAGAGTCCTTGTGGAGAAGCAGAATTGAGAGCGGCAAAGGGGAGAAGGGGATAGGGTTTTTAAGTAGATAGAAGAGAGTGTTTGTAAATAAGCAAAAAACTTGTGTGTGTGTGTGTGTGTGTGTGTGTGTGTGTGTTTAATTAAGGGAAATGATTTTAAGATTGGTATCCTAAGATATGAAGAAACCCAATGATGAGGTGGTAGTGCTTATATTTCGGAAAAATCATTATGCTAACCTACCTAATTATCTTTTAGGGATGAAAAAGGGTATTAATTTATTAATTTGCACACTACACAGACATGCAAGAAGAGAAAAAATTCATTCAATTCTGTAGAACAGATTTGGTAATACTTTTTTTCTTCAGTTTCTTCCATTTGAGGCGGCTGCGGCGGCGTTGAGCGGCGGCGACGGGCGGAGTTGAGGAGATCTCTGGTCTGGTGGTGGTTGCTTTATTAAAAACTCTGAAGACAGACAGCACAACTTTTGTTGGTGGCCTTGAAGGGTGTGCTATGAAAATTGCTTTTTTTCCCTTTCTTTCTCTCACTACCTTTCTCTCTCTCTCTCTCCTCCTCGCTGTCTTCTCATATACTTGTGGGGCTGTCTTTATCTAATTAGACAAAAGAAGTGAAAAGACTGAGACCCCAAAAATGGCGCTTCTCTTTTTCATAATTTCACGGTCTTATCTGAACACACTCGTGAACTTCATTTTTTTTTTTTAAGTTCGACTCGCTAACCAAACGGGCTCGACGACACCTCCGGCGAAAGAGCTGCGTCGGAGAAAAAGAAAGTTGTAATTTAAACTCATTTTTTCTTTCATTTGGTGCTGGTCTTGGGAATGTTTTGCAGTTAAAACCATTAAATAAGTTTAATTATTGATTTTCTCTTTGTTTATACATTGAAGTACTATTGAACGATGTTACTTATTCTTATCCAATCACTTTTTAGTATATTATTGTTTTTGCTTGCAGCGACTTGTCAACGCTGAATGACGATTTAGTAAATCAGAATACTTAAATATATTAATATTTTTGCAATAAAAAAATTAAAATAATTTATGTTTTTAATGTAAAATTATGTAATGAATATATAAAAATAATGAATAACTAACAAAGTAGTAATCAATTCAAAATAGGACCCATACTTTTGTACGTAATTTTTTATTTTATTTAAAATTTATGAAAAAACGAATTAAAATGATTATTTTATGGTGTATTATTGAATTAGGTTTTTATTATATTTATTATAAAACAATTTACATCGTATTTATATTTTTAAAATTATTTTTTAATAAAATTAATTTTATTTTTAATGAAAGATGTAATTAGTTTTTTTTTTATATATGAAATATGGATGTCAAATCAAAAATCGTCAAAATATAATTATTTGGAGATATAATATGCAAAAAATAAAATACAAATAAAAAATTGTAAAGATTTAAATTTAAAAAAGAATACATCTACATAACTATTATTATATGAATCTATTACCATATAATATGGCTAAGAAAAAATATTTGAAAAACTCGAAAATAATTGTTTCATTTCCCGCTTCAAATTTCCACTTGTGTTTCATTTTCTTACTTTATTCGGTTAATTTTTTTGAATCATTTTCATAATCCTGTCTTCTGATTTCAATTGTAATAGATTTGGACTTATTTTTTAATCCTTTTTTTTTTTTTGAAGCGGTTTGGAAG